CTGGTCAAATTAAAATAAATAAGTTAAAATAAAATCATATATATATACACATATATATGTATATGTGTGTGTGTGTGTGTGTGTATATTATATATAAACAAACACTAACCCTGAATTTTGAAAGAGCCGGAAATACAGTATTCTCTAGTGTTATTTAAAATACCACAGTGAATACGACATATCTAATTAGAGCACGGTCTTGGCAATGGTCCTCTAGGGCAGGGAGCTAAGATAGTATCTTCCTGTTGCTTCCATGTAATGCTGGACTGGGTCTGATTAAAAAGGAAGAATTCTGGGGCATTTGCCACGGTCTCCAAGGAGGAAAGTCACAAACATAACCCTTAGTTTTCTGCCAGCACTTCTTCTTTTTTCACTAAGAAGTTAGACAAATGAAATGTGTCTCTAGGTAGCATTTCTTAGGAAAATAGGAAGGTAGGCAGAGGCTGACCATTCCTAGTCTTTAGAAAGTACTAAAAATACATATTATAACCAGGTTTCCAGGTACATAGTCCTAGGTCACAACTGTCTGTACATGGCAGTGTTGTACTTGAATTGAGACATTTTAAAATCCTGGGCTCTAGTAAGAACTTGTCCCCTAAATCTTTTTTTTCTAACTGTTTTGCCTGTGACTCAAAGTAGGAAATACATTTTCCATTGTTGCCCTGTACACATACACACATAATATGTGTATAGGGTAACAATGTGTATGCACCAGCACAACCATGCTCATGATTTGAAATACTGAAAAACTTCCATACCAGGAGGTAAATAGCTACTTTCTCAACCTCCTCCCCAAGTTGCCCTCTGCCTGGTCCCTTTCAGAAACCTCCAGAGCTAAGGCCAGCTCTGAGTTAATGTTGTTAAATGTGTTTAATATCGCTGGTAAAAACAGACATATATATGCATTTGTATATGCATATGTTTCTGCATGATATATTTTATTTTTTTATTTTCATTTAATCACTATACATCTTTACAGTGTACAATATTGTTTTTCCCAGCATGAATATGGCACATATTAGTCAACTCAAAGACATTACCATATACATTATCATCAACAGATATCTTCATTTTTATGTCTAGTAAATGTTTATTTTCCCTGATCCTCTCCTGCCTGGCCCCATACTCTCATATTTTCTGTCTCACTTTTTCAAAATAATTGGTAGGCACTACACTAAATTCATTTCAGGAGTCCCTACTGTGATTTGAATAATACTGCTCTAGGTAATGTGCTCTAAACATGCCCTTCCAACAACATGAGGATATTAAGGTGTACAATCCCTGACTGCACAGGACTGGGAAAAAAAGGTGAAAGAGGATCTCATCAAAAAAGGGGGAAAGGGAGGGAATGGAAGAGCAAGAGTGAGTGAGAATTAGAGAAAGTGAAAAAGCAAACCACCAGGTCTGGGATGCTTCATCTCCAAAATCCACAGATGCATCTAGCTCATAATGCTGGTATAGGGATGGAAATTAGCAAAATTATGTAAAATTTATATAAAACTGTAAAGCATTATATAGAGTATTATTTATAAAAACAAAAGCTAATAAATCAGGAATTAGTGCCATAAGGGAAAAGGGAACACTGGTCGCCCACTGATCCATTAAATTAGAAGAAGAAAGTTCATTGAAATGTAATTGGGAACTCTAAATATATTTATTAAATTTGTGATCAAATGGTAATCTATTAGAATACTCCTCGTCTGGAGAAATTCATATATAAAATTGGGGGTTTTTTTCTCCTTTTTTAAAAAACTAAGGCCTTGCTTTGTGGTGGTCAGTGATCCTCCTGCCCCAGCCTCCTGAGTAGCTGGGACTACTGGCATGCACCACTGTACCTGGCTTTTTGAGGGTGGGCCAGGAATCAAATCCAGGCCTCCCAAGTAGCCTCAGCCTGCAGCGCAGCAGTGTGTTACCAGTGTGTGCCACCATGACTACACCAAAAATAGTTTTTAATGTGCCTTTTTGTATACTAAAAGTTGTTTGTCAAAATTAAGTCATTTGAAATGTCAGGTATGCTTATTTTGAGAATAATAAGTTGTTTTTATGTTTTAAACTTTCAGCACATTTGTGTGTCCAACTGAAATCATCGCTTTTGGTGACAGAATTGAAGAATTCAGATCTATTAATACTGAAGTGGTAGCGTGCTCTGTTGATTCGCAGTTTACCCATCTGGCCTGGTTAGTATCTTATATGGGCTGGAAAAAAGGATGGACTTAAAGAATATATTTACTTATTTAAGTTCCTTCTCTCCCTTCCTTCCTCTCCTCTCCTTTCTTTCATGTGAGAGACAAAGAGAAATACCCTCAGCAGGGTCTCATGGTGCCATTGCCACCCCAACTCCCAGCCTTTTAGCCATAAGGATCACAGGTGTGTGCACACATGCCCACCATGTGCAGGAGTTGACCCAGGAAGCAAATCTCAATCTTCCAGATGGCTTCCAGTATTGCAGAGTGTTGCATTACCACTGCACCACCAGGGCTGGGCCTGCATGTACTATTACATCATGGGCAGATAACTCTCAGCACAATAGACATATGGTCACTTATCAGACGATTCAAGAATAGATTTATCTGAGGCTAATACAGTGAGCTAATAGTTCAATGAAGTTATAAAAAATTCTTAAGGATTTTATAGGACACTTCAAAAATTGTTTCTCCAAAATTTGAACTGTCCATATTGATGTGAGTTTTTAACAGTGACCATGGAGCTAGTCAGTGGTATGATTAAAGCAGCTGGATCCCGCTTGGCCAACAGTGCCATCTGGGTCCCAGACCCAGAAGCTTGAAAAACACGCCAGATACATGTGTGTGACCAAATGCCTGAAAGGAGATATAGAGAAGAGTTTGCAGCATGACCATTCCCGGGGGCGGGGGGTGCATTCTTGCTTTCTCTACTGTCCAAGTGTGAGTACCCTCTAACAATATTTTTTTAAATACTCTCCACAATTTTATGCAGAAGATTTTGTCCACAATTACGATCATTCAGAATTATTTTGATTTTAAAATGTAATATTCATTAAGAATTAAAAACCAAGCTTTTCTCCATTTACAGTTATGTGTATATGTATATATGTATGTGTGTGTGTATATATATGTGTGTGTGTGTGTGTGTGTAGCAAATTGTCATTGGTTGAGGAGCTACAATTACATTCCCTTATTTTTAAATGTAGTTATATATTTAATACATTTGATTTCCTTAAGTATCTAAATTTTCAGACAACCATCTCAAGTACTTAAGTAATTCTAATATGCCGGAACCCCTTAAAAAATCATAACTTAATGTGTACTGATTATTTAATAGAAAAATATTAAAACAAAGTTTAATTCACTTCATCATTTCTATAGTAACTCTAAATCTTTGTAGGATTAAAATAAAGTTATGTCATCCCAAATAATTTGATTTTGCTTTCTGAAGGAAAGTTGGGGATACATTCTCAGCTGGAGATTTCTACTTGGATTTTCAAACTGGGGCTGCAGCCATCTAGAGCATTCCCTGTTTCTTAGTTGCTGTATCAGGGCCCTCCCTTTATAATACCAGCTCACATTCCCTGGTTTTAAGTTATAAAATACTTAAATCTGAAGACTGATGTGTCTAAGATTGAACTGCCTTCATTGCTTCCAGTGGACATTACATTTCTCTCAGAATATTAAAATATCACCCGTTGTATCCTGCTGATCTTTCCAGGCTTTGTCTTGTGATCACGGTTATGAGGTTATGCTTATGACAGTGCATATCCTTTGATCTATCAATTCCATTTCTAGAAATTAATCATACAAGTATAAAAAAATGAGAACGCAAGGATATTTCCAGCAGTTTATAAAAGCCAAACAAAAAAATGGAAAACCATGTAAATGTGTCCATAGAGATTAGTAACTATAGCCTATCCCTACATTAGAAATGTGTTATACATATAACCATATTTAGTGTTTAAAGGATATATTAAGTGAATGTAAAAGCACACAAAGAGAAAGTGTAGTAGCCTGCTTTTGTTAGAGAAAAAAATGTGTGTGCATATCAGAGAAAGTGCTGTTTTAATATAAGCTATTACTCAGCTAATAGGTTAAGTGTTCTATTTGTTACAGGATTAATACCCCTCGAAGACAAGGAGGACTTGGACCAATAAAGATTCCACTTCTTTCAGATCTGACTCATCAGATCTCAAAGGATTACGGTGTATATCTAGAGGACTCAGGCCACACTCTTAGGTACCTTTCAATGGTTTTACATTGTGACATATCCACATATACTTATAATCTTCCTTGAAATTGATGTTATGACTTAGAAGTGTTTTTGATTAAGAAATAATATTTGGGGACCAGCAAGTGGCGTGGTGGTTAAGGTGCTGGATACTTCCACATGGCCGACCATGGATCAAGTCCTGGACCTGGTGGCTTGCTTTCTCACTTTCCTCTCTCTCTCTGTCTCTCTGGTCAAATTAAAATAAATGAATGAATGAATAAATGAAATTGAATAAAATAATTTTAAAAATTAAAAACTGAATGTAAGAAATATTTTGCTCTATTTGCAAGAAAATATTGTAAGTACTCTTGAAATAATTGGTGAGTTAGCAACTTAAACTATGTTAGTGTCATAGACTGTTAAAACTAGATTACTTACAAGCCTTTGACCAATCCTGTCTTTTTACAAATTAAAAAAAGAGACTCATAGGGTTCCATGAACTTAACCAAAGTTACATAATTAATTAGTAGAAAAGCCCAGCCCACACTTGAATCCAGGTCCCTCAACTCCTGTTCACTTCTTTTTCCTTTTTGTCCAAACTGACCCTAGTAATGTCTTTTTCTAAATACAGGTATCAGTATTTAGCAAACCTATCTTTGGAATAGGAAAAATTAAGGAAATAATTTATCCAGCAGCTCTCATTAGGCTGAGTTAACAAATGCTAATATTGTTCTTTGAAAAAGGGGCAGTTTTAGCCTAGAATAGTTGTAATTTCATTATAATTATTTTGGTAATTTACTTTGCAGTGCCAGTAGGTGGTTTTTTTTTTTTTAATTATTTATGTGAAAGTGACTATTATTATAATGCTGTGTTTTTTGTTTGGTTGGTTGGTGTTTTTTTTGAGTGGTTTTTGCTGTAAGGCGCATGCGCTCACCAGAGAGAGAGAGACAGAAAGCGAGAAATCACCCCCCAGGAGGGATGGCGACACCGCAATCCCTTCTCCTCCATTCTCCTCTCGGGATCTTGGGCATGCACACACACGCGCCCAGTGTGAGTTTAAGCCACCAGGTCTGGGACTCGAACTGCAGTCGACTACATGGGAGTCCAGCGACATAGCCATTACGCTAACTACTGGTCCCTAATGTTGTGTTTTTTATAACGGTTTTACTGAGATATAATTTACATAACGTACAATTAACCCATTTATACAGTTCAATAGTATTTAGTATATTGGCAGAGTTGTGTCACAATTTTAGAAAATTTTTATCTCTGCAAAAAGAAACTCAGTACCCAGTACCAGTCACTCCCTATTTCTCCCACTGCCCCCCTAGCCCTAGCCAACCACTTATCTATTATATATCTATACAGTTTCCTATGCTGGATATTTCATGTAAGGAGAATCCTACAACATGTGCTCTTTCATGACTAGCCTCTTTCACTCAGGGTAATGTGTTCAAGAACCATCCATATTGTATCATGTATTACTACCAAAAAATTTCTCTTCTTTTGTACTTGCCAGATCTTTAATATTTTCTGCTTTCCTAAAATCTATTACCATATTAATTCCCATAGGATAACTATGCCACTAGAAGGATGGAGGCAATTTTAAAATTTGGGATTATTTGAACATTAACTAAGTTAAATGATCTAATTTTGACTATTTTAACCAATCATTTATTTTTAATTACTTTTATTTTAAAAGACATGCAAATAGGTTTTTAAAGTCATATTATCTTAAGCAATTATACCTACCACATTACATTTTGTAGCCAAGAACAAATTTTTAAGGCTATCATTTAACAGTACAATTCCAAATTATGCAGCAGATGCTGGGTGTGCATGTATACCATAGAGTAGGTAGGTCATGTGTTGCTGGTACTATATGTTGGGTTGTCAGAAAAGTCATGACATATTTTTTTCTGTTTTTTACATGCAAAAATGTATCATGGCTTTTCCAACAACCCAATAATATCCTGTGTGGATAGTACAAGGATTCATGTTCAATAATACTTGTCTTAACCGAGAAGAGAGGGCCTCACGTCAACCATTCTTGTGTTTCACAGAGGTCTCTTCATTATTGATGACAAAGGAATCCTGAGACAGATTACTCTGAATGACCTTCCTGTGGGCAGATCAGTGGATGAGACACTGCGTTTGGTTCAAGCATTCCAGTACACTGACAAGCACGGAGAAGGTACCTTTCCCTTCTAATCTTTTCAGTTTTGAGTTTGAGAGATAGCAGCATAAATAGTTTGATTTCTTATCCTAAAAGTCATTTGGATGGTTCCAAAGTCTTCTGATTGCTTGTTTTCAAATTATCAGATCTTTTTAATGGGCTAAAGTATTATTAAAAGTGCTTTTAACTAAATATCACTAATATATACTGCTTACTAAATAAAACAAAAAAAAATCATCTGAACAGTCCTTTTGGATAAGCTCAAATTTTCTGCTATTGCAATTGTTGAAATAATATTTCTGTAAACTTAAAATGTGCCTATCTGGCCATGTTTAGTAATGTAAGTTTTATATGCATATTTACACTACTGGATTTAGGTTTTTAAATAATGTAATTCTTAGGGTTACTCAGTTATCACACTGGTACTCTATCAGTTCTTCCTTTCACATCCAAGTTTTATCAGTAGCTAAACAGAAAAAGTCACTTAGATAAAACAGAATACATTGTGTATTCCTTTAAAAAAAAAGAAAGAAAAGAAAAGAAAAAACAGTCAGTCCCTGAGTCAGGTGCATTCTCAAGTCTCTTGGAAAACAGTGAACCATAACATCAGTACAAAATAATGCAGGACACATGGCAGATACCACTTACTGGAAGTTTTTTTAAATTCAGAAGAACTTTTGCTATGCCTAGGTCTGTCAGTCAGTTCACCAGATCCTCAAATTTTCCACCTTGATTAAAGGGGCATTCTTTTTGGTTTTTTATACTGTAAATGTAACCAAACATAATTGGTAAAAATGAACATAGGTTAGCTGCCTGCTGAGAAGCTCCATGACTAAACTCCCTGGTGTGATCAGGCAAGCAAACAGAGGTCAGATACTCAGTGGTCTGGATATGTTCTTATTAGTATATTATATTAATTTCTGTTCCCCATGAAAACAGAAAAGTCAGGAATTGTTAAAGAGAATTAAACTCTGTTTTTAACCTGTCTTTTGTCCATTTTTGTTCCTTTCAGTCTGCCCTGCTGGCTGGAAACCTGGTAGCGAAACAGTAAGTCAAGTTTATTTTTCTGTGAAAGGGATGGCTGGAACAAAACAAACAAACAAAAACACCAACTCCAGGATAGTCTTCCCTTGTAATAAAACTGACTTGATTTTGTACATGAAGTAAACATTGCTAAGCAGAATACAGACATTCTTTGGACTATAAGAAAAGTAAATTAAGCTGGAAAAAATAGAATACAGGACTTGCTGTCCTGAATTTTAAAGCCAATTATTTAGAGAAATATCCTATTCAAAAAACACAAAACAAAAGGGAAAATGGAGACTTTGTAGAATAAATTCAGAGGTCTCAGGGGTCACGTATGAAATTTCTTACTATAGATAATCCCTGAAGTAGTCTCTGACCAAAACACAATTTGGAAACTTGCTTATATCTTTTGAAAATAACACGTTTGTCTTCTTTTTGAAAAGAATAATTTTATTTATTATTTTTAAATTTGCTACAGGGCATATGCATTTACCACAGGAGAGGGAGGGAGAGAGGGAGAAATTGAAAGCGAGAAAGCAAGCCGCCAGGTCCAGGACTCAAACTGCAGTCGGCCGTGTGGGAGTCCAGCACCTTAACCACCATGCCACCTGCTGACCCCCATTGTTTATCTTCTAAACATCAAGAATTTTACATAAAATGTAGTCAGGAAATAAATACTAGTACACTAGAGGAGGAAAAATCTTTATCTTAGGATAATGGAAAAATATAGACTTTTAAGACTTTCTTCCTTAGCAAACCACTATCCATAGACAAAGGTTTAAATTTACTCTCTAACCTTAGGTGTACCCCTTTTTAATTCTTAGATATGCTAAGCTGCTTCCTGCCTCAGGGCCTTTGCCCTTGTTCTTTCTGCTTTGCTCTTAGCCTGATTGGCTCCCTCTTCACTCATGATTCAGCTTCATATGGTCTTTAATGTCTTTCCTCACCACTTTTTTTTTTTGATAGGTTTTTCATATAGGGTGCGTGCACTTGCCAGAAAGAGAGACAGAAAGCAAGAAATCATCCCCCAAGGGGGAGGCCACGCCATAATCCCTTCTCCTCCATTCTCCTCTCGGGATCTTGGGCACACATCCCCAGCATGAATGTAAGCCACCTGATCTGGGCCTCAAACCATAGTCAACTACATGGGAGTCCAGTGACATAGCCATTATGCCAACTGCTGGTCCCTTTCCTCACCACTTTATTCCACATCCAGATACTATCCCATTAGCCTGTTTTTATTTATTTTTTTAAGTTTGCCAGTGGGCACACATGTTTGCCAGAGAAGAGAGTTAGAGATGGAAAGTGAGAAATCACCCAAGGAGTTTAGCCATGCCACAATCCCTTCTCTTCTTGGGGTTTTGGGCATGCATACGCATGTGTCCTGTGTAGTTTTCAAGCCATGGGGTCCAGATTCCAACCAGAGTCTGCCATGTGGCATCCAGATGCCTTAACCTTTGCACCACCTACTACTATCCACAACCTTATATTTTCTTTTCTTTTTTTTTTTTTTTGATTGAGAGATTTTTGCTATATGGCACATGTGCTCACTAGAGAGAGAGGGAGAGAAAGTGAGAAATGACTACTCCTCCAAGGGTAGGGGGGCCACATTGCAATCCCTTCGCTCCTTGGGATTTTGGGCTCACACGCCCAGCGTGAGTTTCAAGTCACTGAGTCCAGAACTCAAACCATGGTTAGCCATGTGGGAGTCCAGCACCTTTACCACTGTGCCACCCACTGGCCCCGCCAGCAATCTGTTTTTTAAAGCATTTAACATAATCTAAAAATAGAATGTACTCCAAGAGTGGAGAATCGTACCTGTGTTGTTCACTAATACATGCTACCTGGCTATTGTAATAGTTAGAGTATACCGTATAGCAAATGCTCAGTAAGTGTTGAAAAAATGTGATCCAACACATAAATATGTATACTTATTTGTGTACTAAGAATAAATTAATGACCAAACATAGCATGTGATAACATATGTGCCTTTTTCTGGAGGGAGAATCCATAGTTGTCATCAAATCTCAAATGAGTTTGTGGCCCACAAAAGTTAATCAAATGGATAGTCAGCATGCTTTCTGAAATGTACAATACTCATCCTATAATACCCTTCATAATTCATGTGTACTTCTTGCAAGCTCTCTTCTGCTCTCTCAGGACTTGGATACTTGGCACATGCCTGTAAGTGGCAGTGATGTTAATCATCAGTCAGTTGGTTTTGCTGCAAGTCTAGGAGGAAGTACCCCCTACCCTGAAGACCTATCCAGAAATGCTTTATAAGGCTTCTTAAGCTTTTAAGCCAGAGGCTTCTCGTGCCCATCTCTCTCTGTAAGCTTCACAATCAATGAATGTAAACTACTCAGTGACTAATTCATGAAGTAGCTACTGCCTAACTTCAAACCCCCTTTGAGATCTATGTATAGAGGAGAGTTAAGTTGATACTGTAACATTAACTTGGACTTCAAAAAGAAAATTGTTTTGCAAGCCCATAAGAATCTGGCCTAAAATCAATGAATTACAATGATTTCAACTTCTTTTATTTATATAAATAGATTTATATGTAGATAGATCAATGTACTTTACCTGCAATTAGCAAGTAAGAGTTATGTTGGAAATTGTTTAAGTCTAATAGGTGTCTAAGGCTATGATGCTCTTAGAGGGAGTACATTTTTCAGAGTATTCATTCACTAGCTATTGAAGGTAATATTTGATGTTGTATAAAGGTGACTTCAAAAAGTCTGAAAAGAATGAGTTTTGGTGCGAAAAAATATTTGAAATCCATAGGTTTTTCCACAATATGCATTTTCCATGAATTTTTGGAATACTTCTGATAGTTGAATTTTTGGTTGTTGTTTTGTAACTTGTAGTTTGAGTTTAAAAAGTTACACTCTGGGGGCCAGCAAGTGGCATGGTGGTGAAAGATGCTGGACTCACATATGGCCGACCTTGGTTTGAGTCCAGACCTGGCAGGTTGCTTTCTCACTTTCCCTCTCCTACTCTGTCCCTCTCTTGTCAAATTAAAATTAATTAATTACTTAATTTAATTTTAAAAAATAAAAAAAAAGATTTTTAAAAAGTTACATTCTGGAACTTCAAAAAAATTATTTTGGTAAACTCAGTGAATGCACTGCCCCCTTTTCAGGTTATTGTGGCAAACCATCATTTAAGCAACAGATGATTTTAAACATACTCTTAAGGGCCAGTAAGTGGCAGAGAGGTTAAGGCAGCTGGATCCCACATGGCTGCTGCACAGTTCGAGTCCCAGACCCAGCGGCTTGAAAAACATGCCAAGTTCATGTGTGTGCATGCTCAAACTGAGAGAATCAAGAAGAGGCGACTATAATGTGGCCATCCCTTCTGAAGGGTGATTTCTCTCGCCCCTGCCCCCTTCTCCTCTCTGGCAAACACACACACACCCTAAAGAAAAAATTAAAAATAAAATTAACATCTGTACCCATGCTCTCAATATGTTTGATTTAATTAGATTAAACCTGAAGATGCCATGAAAGCCTGGTGGCCAAGAGAAGAGCTGTAAGTAAATCATGGGGTGCCTGAGTACAGATGTTAACTTATTAACAAGTAAATTACTTGTCTTTTAGGATATCTGAGATTAGTAAGTAGGAAAAATTCTTTTTCTCCTGAATAATTATGATATAATTTGGTATAAAAAAATTATCTTTATCTTCTTTATTCATGAGGTGGGCAACTAATGACAGACTACTAATGATGTAGTTTGGCTTTTAAAATAATTAACTTGAGGGGCCAGCAGGTGACATAGTGGTTAAGGCACTGGACTCCCACATGGCTGACTACAGTTCAAGTCCCTTACCCGGTGGCTTGAAAATCACACGTGTGCATTTATGCCAAGAATCTCAAGAGAATGGAGAAGGACTGTGGTATGGCTATCCCCCCGGGAGATGATTTCACTTTCCCTCTCTCTGTCTCTCTGTAGCACATGCACCCTATGGCAAAGTACTAAAAACATTTTTTTTTTTTGGAGAGGTTTTGCTATAGGGCACGTGCGCTCGCCAGACAGACAGAGAGAGATAAAGAGAAAGTGAGAAATCACCCCCCAGGGGGGATGGCCACACCGCAATCCCTTCTCCATTCTCCTCTCGGGATCTTGGGCACACATGCACATGCGCCTGGCATGAGTTTAAGCCACCGGGTCCGGG